CTAGCTGTTGTACTAGGTGTCGCGAGTATAATTCAATGTCGGTAGGGGCAAATAGCCCTAGGAGTAGTTGTTTCTCGCGGCACTGACTACTAAAACATTGTAGGTTTGGGGTTTGTGGGTTTGTCGATTTGGAGTTTGTGAGTTTGAGTTCGTATGTATTGAAGGTTTCTGAGTATAAAGTTTCTGAACTGCAATCAACTGTTTGACGTCTACGGGATCCTTAGTAGATTTTCGCATATTAAGAAACTGATAAACTTAGAAATTTCAACATATGATAACTCGACGAAAAAAAAAAAGATATTTGAGCAAACTCAACGGCATTCGAAAGCCTTGTACCTGTTAAAGCCTTGTACTGTTAAATTATATGTTTTTTTTAAAAAAAAAGAATAGATGGCATTACTACATAACCTCAAATATGACGAAAAACAGTGTTTTTTGCACTTTTAGGTTAGGATATCTCAAAAACCTGACGTGATAAAGCAATTCGGGAATGTATATTAGTGTGTCTGCTTCAAGGATTGAAAATATAAAATGCACTTACGATTGCATTTAACTTTCAACCGAATTTCTCACTTTCGGTAAACATCAAATTGCTGCTGAATTAAATAACAATTACGACCGACAGAAATGCAAAATTTGTACGGTAGCACCGCGAAGAAATTTTTTTCAAAGATTCCAAACAAATTGCATCCGGATTCCGCGTATGTCTGCATAAATGTCCCATTTCCATATTCAGATCAGATTTCAATTGATAAATTATTATCTCTCTAATCGCGAAATCTGCTTCATTACTTACTTAGCACGGCGATATTAGTTGAAATATGCAGTCAGTTTTGCAATAACAATGCCCATTATAATTATGCGCAATGTTTACATCGGCACTTTTATTTTAATGCTTGGAATTCATTAAATCGTATTCCCATAAATCAATCTGAACTAGTAGCCGATAGCAAATATCTCGATTGCTTTCATTCTTATATGTTAATTAAATCTAGCGGTTATGGACTTATAACGATGGAATAGATCGATAATGATTAGAACAATGATAAATGTGGTACACTCAAATAGTCGTGTTATATAAATTACCAATATTAGTTATGAAATCATTTGTGTAAATATCAGAAGCGGTTCTATATAGGGCTTTTACGAACTTTCCATAAAAGATTTTTGAGAATACTGTCATTGAAAAGTGATTTTGAAGGAGTGCTTTTTAATTACCGTCCGGTTGAAATGCTAACAACGGTATCTCCACTGTCATCCATCTAGAGATGTAGGATGTAGTTATATCTTTATATACTCAAACATATCGCAGACTGACAACATGTTATGTTTATCGTTGCCCTGCTGTCAGTGGCGCATAAATTTATCGATTGGAATGAAGACCAAAAAGCAAAAAACCTCTTAAATTATCATTTTGCTTATAATAAAGATCTGAAGGTGATTCTTCAGAATAAACGGTTGTGGTCAAGATTAGACGTCAGCATGAATCTGTAGTAAATATTTGGTAATACAGAGTGATTCATAAGTTCGGTCATATCTTGTATCGCTTGTAAAACTGGTTAGAAAAATCATTTCCTGCAAATACCATTTTCCAAAAGACCATATTTACTTCGAAAACAAGATTATTCTACCGGTTCTGCCTTGAATTTAAAGAAGTTAAAAATGGCTGTCATCATTATCCATACAATGTTGTGCGACCCATCTAAGAATCTGTACCCGCTCATAATAGAGATAAAGGTTTTCCACTAATCTACTTTACTTTGAGACAGAAATAAGTGTAATGGAATCATTTTTACGATTTGGGTCGTTTTTGTACGTTTTACATACAGAAAAAACAAGCATGACCTTAGCAACTTAGTTTAAATTTTTTTATTAAGAATCAAAGAAAGCGCGTATTCTGGAATATCGAAGCAAAGTCGATTAGTTGTCTCTAGACAGCCTAAAATGTGCTGATATGGAGTACCAGCCCATTTCAGGTTGTAACAAACAATGGTACCCCTCAGGTGTTTGCTGAAATATATCTTGTTTGGTTGTAAGTATGAGAACTGACCAAACGTAAATATTACAAAAGTTGTTAATACCATTTCGAATACATCTCCAACCACAACGTTTCTGTTTGATTCATACAATGTTACTAAAGAACCACTCGCAAAACTGAAATGTGTAGGGGTGGTCTTGTGGCGGTAAAACTTCAACTTTTTACGCAATGTTCAAACTTTGTTTTGGCTCAGTTCAACTTGATTTCTGGAGAACTTGTTAGGTCTCTTCTAATTTTACTCATTTGTGATATTTGAACTAGAATTGAGTACTTTCACTCAAATATAGATACCCGTTAAATAAATTCTGCAGATAAACTCGTATTTAGTACACTTGTAGCTAAATCGGAGTAAATGTCCTCATTGTCTATTTCCATAGTTAGAGAAAAAGTCAACTCTTAATTGGTTTTACATACTCAGGATAGACTCAAAAATCACTGACTTGATAGTTGGCAGAAACTCGGATTTGAGTAAAATTCACTCACTTCTGTTTCAATCATAAAATTTTAGTTGTACCCATACTAATATAGTGAAAGTTTCACTCAATCGGGTATGGACAGAAATGGATACATTATTGAGTAAAATTGAGTGAATTAGTGAAATTTTTTTGCAGTGTATAAGCATATATTCAACCAAAAATCTTGGTCAAAATCCAAGATTAAACTGACAAGAATATAGGAAATAACAAAAGAGAAATATTCACAGAAAAAAGCAACAAATATTAGATTTGTGTAGCGCTTGTTTTATATGTATATACGGACCATCGACTTGTTTAGTCTTTGTAAGGCTGGCCTTGAATTTTTTTAGCACTATGGAAGGCTCTAATTACCTTATTTAAGAGTTATTTAAAAAATGTAATTTGAAAAGATGTTTTGTTTTGAGTAGTTCTACATGTTGTTATTAAAGAATATGACTCAACTTATAAATCACCCTGTATATGTTTGTATGTAAACATTAGTGTAATATGGTCTCAAAATTTTTCTCTTGTAGAATAATTTATAAAAAGCGTAACTAAAGGACTTCGCCAAATTTTAATGCTATAGTCTGTTTGGAAATGAAAAAGTGTAATAAAACCCCGAAATAAGAACCGGTTATGGGCGTGCTAATATTTCGTTTCAGGTAATTATCGGGTAACACTAATTCTAACAGGTAATGGATGTACATTAGTATATTTTACTGGATACATCATAGGGCAAGAGCCAGTGTATTGTGACAGATCAATCCAGTCTTAGAGCTGAATATACGAAGACGTGCTAGTGCAGTAGAGTAAAATTCGACTTGTGTTTTGTGACTATTGTGCCAGTGGATATAATATTGTTTGGGTAAAATGTCGAGCTTATCAGATTACGTACCTGCTAAACGCGTGAAAAGATGTGCGCTGTCTCAGAATGAGAAGATTAT